TCCCTCTCGTCTGTCCTCCGCCCACCGCCGTACCGCAGCAAGCGCCCCCAGCATGCGACTGCCGATGCTCGTGTCCGCGGGCGTCCTGCTGGTGGCTCTCCTGCCCTGTCCGCCGTGCAGGGCCCTCCTCAGCCGGGGACCCGTACCAGGTGCCCGGCAGGCCCCGCGGTCCCTGCAGCCCCTGGATTTCTTCCAGCCGCCGCCTAAGTCCGAGCAGCCCCAGAAGCCGCAGCCTCAGCCGGTCCTGCTCCGCAAGGGAGAGGAATACTTCCTCCGCCTGGGAAACCTCAACAAAAGCCCAGACGCTCTCCTGTCGCCGGTTTCCTCACCCCTCTCCGGGGGCAGGAGCAGCAACCCCTCGCGGGACCAGACGGCCACCAACTTTTTCCGCGAGTTGCTGCAGCAGCGGCAGCTGCCTCGGCGCACGCTCGACAGCCCCGCTGGTCTCACCAAGCGCGGCACCGAGCACGTCCTCGGCGGCCACCAGGAGGCACCGGAGAGGGAGAGGCGGTCGGAGGAGCCTCCCATCTCCCTGGATCTCACCTTCCACCTTCTCCGGGAAGTCTTGGAAATGGCCAGGGCAGAGCAATTAGCGCAGCAAGCTCACAGCAACAGGAAACTGATGGAGATGATTGGGAAATGAAACGGTGCGTTTGGCCAAAAAGATTCTGCTTTTAGCACACAAAAAAATTATAAAAAAAAATACAGTATTCTGTACCATAGTGCTGCTCTGATATCATTTGTTTATTTTTATATAGCTTGAAAAAGGATGTACAGGGAGAGAGCCTATACCCCTTAATTAGCATGCACAAAGTGTGTTCATGTGCAGTAACGTCAGATGTTATTTGTATTGTCTATTTTTAGTTCCCATTTCTAGGTGTCTTTTAGTGGTGTTCTGATGACAATGTAGACCTGGGAGAAAACGTTTTGAAGAAGTAGAAGTTACAGCCAGAGCCAAAGAGAATGTCATTCTCTTGGGTGGGTGGTTGAGACGAAATCTGTAAGCTCTTTGAATCAAAATTTTCTTGTAAACGTTTCAGTAATAAAACATCTTTCCAATCCTTGGTCAATTTGGTTGTGTAAGAATGTTGAATATTTATATTTTTAATAAAAGCTGCAAAGGTGATCGCGACTTTATTTTTCCTCTCCAATGATCATACCTGGAAAAGACTCGACTTCTAGCTTCTTACAAATTTTCAGCCCAAGAAAAACCCAAAACTTAGTCTGTGCAAATATATGTTGGGGGCTCCCACGAAGCCTACAGTCACCTCGAGTTCATCTCTGTGCCTCAGATCACTTTAGTTAAATGACCCAGAAAGCTGTCTCCAGTTGTAAAACTTGGTAACTCCATAAACGGGAGGTCAATTCATAAGAGAAATAACTTTTAACCCTGATTTATTATAAGATTTGAGTAACTGGGGATGTGGGAAAGGTGAAGGAAAAGAGAAGGGTGGAGGCAGGCATTCTGCCAAGTGATATGGCCAAATGCTGCATTTTTTTTCTTTTTTCTATGAGAAAGGTTCACTTCATCCAGTTACTACTCCAGTCTTTGGTACTATGAACTATTTTTTTCTAAGCTATTTCTAAATGACTACTTTTAATAGAAGAAACATGACAGCATCTTCACTTAAAACAATCAAATTTAGTTGCTATAAAATGGCATTTGGGAGGACCAGAGAATGGTGTGGTGGTTAAGGTGGCTGGATCCCACATAGCAGACTAGCAGTTTGAGTCCAAGCCCAGTGGCTTGAAAAATACACCAGGTGCATGAACCTGCATACCCAAAATCCCAAAAGGAGAAATGAAGGGATTGCGATATGACCATGCCCCATGGGGATTGCCTTCCCACTTTCTTTCTCCCCTTCTATCTCTCTTTCTCCAGTGAACACATGTAACCTCTACCAAATTTAAAAAAAAAAAAGGCAGGTGGGAAATTTTTTCTTATAAAGAACATTTTGACTTTAATTACTGCCTCAGTACCTGGCATATTTATGTCTATGCCAAACCTAATTGCTGTGATTCTTAAGCATATGAACTATCTTTAGTCACTTCTAAAACTGAATGGCATATATAGTTAGTTGCACAATGCATTTGCCTTTGATAGTTCAGTTATAGCCTTAGAAAATTCAGTCAGATGTTTAATACTTCAACATTAATTCATATGCATAAAGATACTTATTCCCCTGAGAACCTTGAAGTACACTTGACTAATAAATTAATACAACAATATAAAACACTAAATAAATCATTATCAGACTAAGTTTTTAAAAACAGCAGTAATGCATTTATTTAAGAATTCATACAGACTAAGGTTACACTTATGTTTCAAAGGAGGAAAGATGAATTATGGGGGTGGGATCAAAAAAGCATAATTTAAATATATATACACACACACATATATTTAAATAAAAAATCTTATTTAAATGTATATGAGTATATATATTTGTTGTGTGTATGTGTTGTGTGAATATATATTTAAATACATGCAATTGTTCTACAAATGACCAGAGTAGTACCATCGTGGATAAATGAGAAAGTAGACAGCTCCTGCTAAAAGATCTTTTTCAGTGCTTGATATGTGAATATCTAAAACTTAGATACTGGACTATGAAAGTGTCACCGAATTCAGAAAACATTTCTGGATATACATCCAGCAATACCTAGCACAGAAAAGAGGAAAAGTTTATGAAACATTTCATAGCTTTGGTCAATAATTTACCTTTTATCCACATACAAGGGGGTTTTCAAAAAGCTCATAGAAAATGTGTGTCATAAAAAAACAACTATGCATAGATTTCAAATTTTTTTGCACCAAACTAAACACATATTTTAACCCCCATTTTTCCATGAATTTCTTGAAGTCCCTTTGTATGGATATAACTAGTCACTTCTGAATTGACACTGAATTTCACTGAAAAATTGCACTGTTAAAAAGAAAAGAATAAGAGCTGCAGTGGTATAATAACAAAAAGCCAGTGCCTATCAGCGACAAGAGTATAGTGCCCACATTTTTCAACACTTGCTGCTTCTAACTGACGTACACACACATACCATACCTACAAGCCCTTCCTAGTGTTTCCCATACAAGAAAAGATTTCTGTAAGATCAAGTTTCTTTTTTCCAGTGCTTTCTGCAACTGTATTCTCCCTCAATAATTAGAGAAGTCACCTGGAGTTAAAGTTTTTGTTTTTGTTTCATTTTTTATTTTTTGCAGAAATCCTGTTTGGAGGTCCCTTTCATCATCCACACCATGTTAATTTCACTGAGGTTCCCTGCTGCCTGTGTGCATCTCAGTCAGGCAGAGAGAGGGGAGGCACTTGGAATGAACATCATTCATTCAGGGAGTTCAACCAGGAAAAGGAGAAGACGTGGCGAGCTGGCTCAGACTCAGCTCCATTTCCACTCCCTGAAGCTGAGGCCTGTCCCTGGAGGGCAGGGACCTCAAATCCAGTCTGCAACAGAAGAGAATGTGAATCAGAGGAAGAAGAGGCCATTTCTATCTGGATCTGTCCAGTCATTTTTCTACAGAAGAGGAAGGATAGTAATAATAATAATTATTATATGAGACATAATTATTATTAAGGACAGAAAGCAAGCTCAGGTTGTCATGACTGTGGCCATGAGCTTTGAAAGTAATTCACACTCATGATACAAAAAGGGACAACAATGCATGCAGTGGAGGGAAGTTCGTAGGGAAAAGAGTCCAGGTTTCCCACTTTTTTTTATGTCCACTTGTACATGAATTTACTGAGATGAATGTCTTATCAAAACTAATAAGAATTTAGGTTTAGAAAAGCCTGCAGAATGAAAAAAAATAATTAAATGACATTGCTATACCTTATGAAATTGCAAGGCAAATTAATATAATCTTTCCAATGCTACAGTTAAAAGTTCTACTATATATACATAGATTTGTTTCTGGATTTGTTTTTGCAAAACTACAGGCTTTGTTTTGAGCAAATTATCAATGGATTTTTTTTTCCCTGTAGGCAATAAAATCTAACAAAAATATTTATATTCAACCAAATCTAATATCACATTTCTACTTTCATGAAAATCTGATCTTTATACATTGCAATTTTGAATTAATTGATTATTCTAATCTCATAGTTAGAATTTGTGTACATAATTTTGAGTTTTTTTTTTTTCATTAGAGAGAGAGATGTTTGCCATAGGACGTGTATGCTTGCCAGAGAGACAAAAAGCGAAAAATCACCCCCCAGGGGGATGACCATGCCACAATCCCCCTCCTCCATTCTCCTCTTGGGATTTTGGGCATGTATGCACCTGGCCTGAATTTCAAGGCACCAGGTCTGGGACTCGAACCATGGTTGGCCATGTGGGAGTCTACCACCCCAATCACTAGATCACCTGCTGGCCCCCGTGATTTTGAGTTTTAAAAATAATTATGGAACTATTTTTAAATAAGGGATATGAGATAATGATAAGGAAGTCCTGTTGAAATGCAATTCGATGCATGAACTCAAACTCTTCAGGTTTCTCCCTAGAACTATAAACAACAGGTAATCACAGTCTGATGATTTCACTGGCAAAACTCTCCCACCAGATTAGAATGTCACTGATTCCAAAGCAATGAAGTAGCCACATGCATTCTGTTCAAGCGCTGGTGATTTATGAAGCTACTGTATGAATGGACAATATCTGGCACAGGCAAAGCTCAACATTAGTCAGTATGCTGTCTTATTGCTACTTAGAATATTTTTGAGAGAAAAGCAAGTGCTTGGCCAGCACGTTACCAGACTTTATCCTAAATATATATTTTGGGTGATGTTTCAAGATCAGTAAAATTGGCTGTGGGATTATCCTTCACACTGCCATATTGCTCCCTGATAGAAAGTTAAGAAGGGCCATGAAATCATATTTGTGGTAGAAGAAAACGGAATCACTCAGCTGACTCAACGATGAAAAAAATGGTTGAGGCAGCTAGTGAAATTGGGAATTTTAAAAAAGAATTTTTTTAGATTCTATTGATAATGGGTTAGACACATTAACGTCCTTCAAATTGTGGTAGAATAAACAGAATCCCGTGCCTTTGTGTATACATCAAACCCTTCTCTTCTCTACCAATTTACCATCACCAATACAAACAAAAACAAAACAAAACAAAACCCTAAAACCCAAGTGATCCGGACATACCATTAATGTATAAAAGACTCTTTTCTAACCATTCAAGGAGTGAAGAGTGAATTCGGCCATCATGGTCCATTTTGTATCCCCTTTTTCTCTGAAGGCTGTTCCTAATCTATAGGAAACTTCCATGAGAATTGTTTTGAAATATCTCTGGAGTGAAACTAATCAGGTTAGTTATTTTCTGCAGAAGAATATAATCTTTGGGAAACTGCTGGTAGCTGACAAGCCTTTGGGGATTGCTTTTGGAATTTGTGTATTTTTTTGTGCTTTTCCATAGATATTAAAATCCATCTTTTACTTGAAATGCTTCAGCTGTTAATAGTTGCTAGCCTTCAAAATTTGCGATTAAATGGTCTGAGTTTGCTGCTTTTATACCCCCAAGTCTCCAGGGGGTTATCAGTTTTTCTGCAAACAACTTGGACCAATATTATCTTTCAGAGAAAGAAGCCAGTGGCAGAATGGGTCAAGAGCAGAGATGATTCTGAAATGTAGATGATGACACCCTGTCCTTGGTCTTCTTTACATAAACTGACGACCACTAACCATCTCAGCAAAGAAGTTCCGTACAAAGAGGCTTAGCCTAGTTTTGAATCCCAGACCAATTACTTATTAGCTGTATGACTTGCTCAAGTTACCTAACCTCTCTGAGTCTTCGTTTCATCTTCTGTAAAAACAGATGTGGGCCCTTACCTCACAAAGTTCTTATAAGGGCTGACTGGATAAAGTAGTATACAAAGTACTTTGTGTCTGCCCACTTATGTTAGATACTCCCTTCTCTCCCTCTCTTACAACAGTGCAGAGGCGCCTCTGGCAAGGACATCACCTGGGGTCTGTTTATTATGGACTACATACAGCAGCAATGACCGCTAGTAAAGAAAGACAATGGAACTTGCAATCTCCTCTTTACATGGCTGGGCAGCATTTCTATAGTTTAGTCCCATCCTTAGATTGCAATCAGGATCACCCATGACATGAATCTCCAACAGCCCAGCTTTACATATGGCTACCTCATAAAAGTAGGCTGAGTTAGCGATTCAGAAACCACCTTTCTGCAGGCACAGCCCATCGGATCAGAAGCATCCATTTCCCCTGCAGCCTTCCCCATGCAGAATTGTATATACACCGGGGCTTTGACATGTTCATGGAAACTGTGTTATGAAGAAACTGCATGAATTTTCTTTTTTGCACCAAAATAAACTCATACTTTCTTTGTTTTTCTGTGAACTTTTTGAAGACCCTTCATATGGGTTCCTTCAAATACTGGCTCTCCTCCATCATTGGAAGGGCTGGTAGACCGATGTCCCATGAAGCAGCTCAAAGGACAGAGAATGACAAACTCTGATCTCCTCTACCTGCTTTTGTGCTTGTCCTGCGTTCCAGTTTCATTTGATACGTATACAATAGTGTACAAAGGATACCTGTCCCACATTATTTCAAAGTTTTACACATTTTACTCAGGGGGCAACACAAACAAAGGAACAAATGTATGACCCTCATTTAACAGTGCGGTCTATTACCTAGAGCTGTGAGTAATCAACAGCGAGGGCTTTGTCAATAAAGAAAACCAGGAAAAGGAATAAGAAGAGAGCATTTTCCCTCTGCCTCAACTCTCAGACCCAATTTGGTTAAGATCCAGAAGAGACCAGCAGAGCTTGTATTAGACCTTCGCTTAGAGAGAAAACAATGTTTCTTAGATCAGCTTGACCAGAAATTCAGGATATTCAAGAACCAGACTCAGGAACACAAAATCCCTTATTTTCCTTTGATTTTTCTCCCTGTTACTATCTTGTCCTTTGAGAGGGGAAAAACAAAACAAAACAAAACAAAAACACCAAAACTAATGTCAGTTGCTAGCACTAGGGTGTTGTTTCACTCAACAGGAGAGCCAGGTGAGGTGAAGTGCTTCCAGCCAGACCATGTGGTATGCAAGCATCCTTGACTAGCTATGTTACCTAGGATCACTCAGAACACGCATTCTGCCAGAGGTTTGAGGACATCTGTCTCTCTGTGCAGGACAGTGCAGGTTAGGGACAGTGTTCACTTGACCTGAATGGTGTGGCTGCATGGTGTTTTGAAAAAATGTGAATCAGTTGCAAACATTAAACAAGACTGGAGTAAGGGTGTGAAGAAACTGGAATTTTTGTGCACTGTTGGTAAAAATGTAAAATGGAGGCATCACTATGGAATACAGTGTGGATGTTCCTTAAACAATGAAACAAAGATACCATATGAACCAGAAATTGGACTTCTGAATACATGAATTCACTTTGCACCATACAATTCACCGACTGAACAAAACTAAAGAGATGCATTCCTGACATTCACTGTGTCACAAGTCTGGGTAGTCACATTTAGGAGTGGCATTATTTTCTTAGCTGGCCCAAAATATTAGGTTGTTGGAAAAATCATAATGTATTTTTCTGCTTTCTTATGCAAAAATGCATCATGACTTTTCCAACAGTCCAATAGAAGAGAACTCATCTTCATCTCAGGCTGACTCTGAGCTTCGCAGGGCCTCCATGTCTTGCTAGCATCTGTCCTTCTCCAAAAGATCCTTCTCTACACCACCCATAACTATGATCCATTAAAATTTACTGTCTTGGGACCAGCAGATGAAGTAAAGGTTACATTGCTGGACTCACACACTGTCGACCGTGATTCAAGGTCCAGATTCAGCAGCTTAAAACTCATGCAGGGCGTGTGTGCGTGTATGCCCAAAATACCAAGAGGACACTGGAGAAGTGATTGCAGCATGGCCATCCCCCCTGAAGGGGTGATTTCTTGCTTTCTGTCTCTCTGTCTCTCCAGAGAGTGCATGTACCCTAAAGCAAAAATTCCTAAGAAAAGAAAAAAAAAATGACCTGTCCTGTGTTTCATTCCCTCTGACTTATCCAAATGATAGTCATGGGTCTGATAAAATGTAACTGAGACATTAATAGATGGTGATGATTTAATGTACATGCCTGCAAGATCACATTTCACTTCAAAGTGTCCATGCCTTATCCTGAGGGATGACCAACGGTGAGTCATTGATGTGATACTGGGGTTAGTGAGGAAACTTATGTCTTGGCCCCCAAACTTGGGCTGCCATCTCCTCGATCTCCAAGTGTCTTACGAATGTCCATCAGAAATTGAACCTGACTAGTATCTGGTTACCACTACATGTTAAATGCCAGTCTTTCTAAGCTAGTTCAAAAGAACTAGTTCATCTAGCTCATCTAGAATGATATCCATTTATCTTAAAGGAATGTGGCTAGGAAGGCTTAGGTTGGACTTGAGCTGATGAGTGGGCAGCCATCCA